GCAGGCAGGATGGTGCCTGTATGGGCAGGGGGCTGTGGGGTGATGCCCTGGCAGAGCCCCTGCCCTCGTTGCCACCCCCAGCCCAGTGCTGCCCACCCCTGCCTGCCCCCTGGGCACCCATGGGGGGTCAGAGCAGGGGCTTCCCCATGAAGGGGGAAGGAAAAGGGGTTTGGGAGGAGCGAAGTAGACAGAGAGAAGGTGGGATTCAAACCCTGCCTGTGAGGGATGGGGTGGTGGGGAGATGGGAGATGGAGAAGTAGGGCTGTGGAGCAGCTCCTCCACCCCACGTCTAGCTCACCCTCCTGCTGGGCTGCATGGACACCTCCCAGGGGTGTGTGGAGGTGGATGGCCCTGTGCTCACCTGCAAGCCTGACCTAACAGCTCCCACCCAGGCAGGTATCCCTGGGTGCCACCCAGGTGTCCCTGGGTGCACTCAGGCATCCCCTGGGGGTGAAGCCCACCCTCTCCACCATGCTCACCCCTATCTTCTCCACCGTGCTCAGTCACATCCTTTCCACCATGCTTGGCCGTGGTGCAACTGTCAGACACTGTGCCAGGCTGTCCCCACTGCCTGCCCAGCTGTTGGTGGGGACGTGGCATCCAGGGCTGCTGTCCCCAGGTCAGTGGCATGGGGAGCATGGGATGATGATGATGAGCTCCGCACAGCACTGAGGGAGAACCTTGGTGCTACCACAAGGGCTGTCCTGGATTGTCTCTTAATAATCCTCATTAACCAGAGTTAGCAGAAGGATAAGGAAAACCAGCCCTGTCCTACAGCATGCCAGCACAGAGGGCATGGCAGGGCCTGAGCCCCTCCTTGGCCATGGTGACTCCATGTGGGATGGAGCCTGGCATGGGACCCCAGACCAGGACAGCTTTCTCTGCAGAGTGGCCATGCTGGTGGTTGTTTGGTTGGGATGGTGGAGTCAGCCTGGCTGGGGAGGATTGTGTCCACAGCCCTGAGTCCAGGGCAAGCAGCAGCAGGAGCTTCAACCTCTGTGCTGGTGGCAGAGAGGTGTTCAGTCCTGCCACAGGGGCACCCAAGAACCTTGGGGGGTGCTGGGCTCAGCTCTGGAGTGTCACCCATCCCTCCCCCAGGTTGGGTTGTGGCAGCCTCCTAGTTCCCCTCCCCACTGTCCTCTGGGGCTGCAATTAGTGGCCTGACCCCAGGCTGACTCCCCCCCATCCCACCCCCCTGCTGGGAGGACAGGGCAGGATGTAGGAAACACCAAACCAAACGTAGTTCAGCCGAGCTGAGTGTTCAGCTCGGGAGCACTGTGGGCAGCCGTGACCTGCCTGTGGGGCACAGGGCTTGGGGAGGGGGCTGCAGGGACAGCCAGGGGCTGGGGACTGGGCGAGGGGGGCACAAGAGCCTTGGGGGTGGGACAGGAATAGTCACCAGCATCAGGTCCTGGGGGCTGCTGTGAGACCCAGTGGTTCTCCCCATGTGGCGGAGGGTTGGGGAGGTGGGATCTGCTCAGGCTCTCTTGGTAGGGGCACAGCACAGCCTGGGGTGCTGTGGGGCCAAGGCAGGGTTCAGCCAGCCCCCATGCCACCCATAGACATGTTCAGTGTCTCTTGCACGTGTAGATGCTCCCCAGCATGACCTGGCACTGAGCTGACACCAGCTCGGCTGGGGGTTGTGGCAGGAGCACAGCAAGGCTGAGGCAGGTCTGGGGGTACCAGTTCCTCACCAGCAAGGGCAGCCCTGGAGATGCTTCCTGCAACACTCCTGGCTTTGCTCAGGCTGCTCAAGCATCTTCAGGGCTGGAGGCTGGGGCTGCTGTGCCAGTTTGGTGGGAACATTCATCCAAGTTCAGCTCCCTGCAGCTGCCCAGGGGACCTTCCCCATGTCACACAGCTCCCAGGAATTTCTGGCCCAATTTTCGGCTCTGGTTGGGTTCTTGTGAGTAGTTGAGCATTTTTCAGATCTCAGAGAAGACTCCCTCATCTCTTTGAAGCTTCTCCACTGGGGATGAGCAGCAGA